GTGAATAACTCCTCTGACATACCAACTGAAGCGGCTGTGGTGCTAGTTTTGGTGGTGGCGGCAGGCGGGTGAGTGGTATCTTGAGAGGTGCCTGAAGCTAAGCTGGAGGAGGATGGTGCGTCAAGGTTCTGAGCGGAGGCTGTAGAAGATTGGGTGTCCTGTGTTAGCCAGTCAACTATGTCCTCAGAACTTTTCAAGTTCAGGGTACGTGGCCTCTGAAAACTGGGCATTATTCTAGGGCCAAAGGGAATCACAGCACCACGACCACGATGGCCCCTGCGGGGTGGCCTGCCTCTGCCTGTCATTTTTGTTGGGATTAGTGGTACTATGCGTGCAAGCTACTGTGAGACCAGATATGAGTGGCAATGTGCACTGGCACAGTTGTGCAGAGCACAGGCTGTAGGCCTGACACCAGCTTGAAGATAACTAACTGCTATTCAATCTATAACAGTGAAAAAAGTGTTTTTTGTTTTTAAATCCAAGCTTTGTGTCACCAGATCTAAGTGGTGGCAATGGTCACGGTATCCACTGTTAGCGTAACACACCCGCTTTAAGGACACTGACTGCTATTCAATCTATAACAGTGAAAACAGTGTTTTTTGTTTTTAAATCCAAGCTTTGTGTCACCAGATCTAAGTGGTAGCAATGGTCACCGTATCCACTGTTAGCGTAACACACCCGCTTTAAGGACACTGACTGCTATTCAATCTATAACAGTGAAAAAAGTGGTTGTTGTTTTTTAAATACAAGCTTTGTGTCACCAGATCTAAGTGGTGGCAATGGTCACCGTATCCACTGTTAGCGTAACACACCGGCTTTAAGGACACTGACTGCTATTCAATATATAACAGTGAAAAAAGTGGTTGTTTTTTTTTAAATACAAGCTTTGTGTCACCAGATCTAAGTGGTGGCAATGGTCACGTATCCACTGTTAGCGTAACACACCCGCTTTAAGGACACTGACTGCTATTCAATCTATAACAGTGAAAAAAGTGTTTTTTGTTTTTAAATCCAAGCTTTGTGTCACCAGATCTAAGAGGTGGCACTGGTCACCGTATCCACTGTTAGCGTAACACACCAGCTTTAAGGACACTGACTGCTATTCAATCTATAACAGTGAAAAAAGTGGTTTGTTTTTTTAAATCCAAGCTTTGTGTCACCAGATCTAATTGGTGGCACTGGTCAGCGTATCCACTGTTAGCGTAACACACCCGCTTTAAGGACACTGACTGCTATTCAATCTATAACAGTAAAAAAAGTTTTTTGTTTTTAAATCAAGCTATTGTGACACCAGATGTAATTGGTGGCACTGACTGGGGAAATGGGCACAGTATGCACTGTGAGCCTGACACAGAAGCTGGCAGCAGTGGCAGACAACTGACTGCTATTCAATCTATAGCAGTGAAAAAAGTTTTTTGTTTTTAAATCCAAGCTATTGTGACACCAGATGTAATTGGTGGCACTGACTGGGGAAATGGGCACAGTATGCACTGTGAGCCTGACACAGAAGCTGGCAGCAGTGGCAGACAACTAAGTGCAATTACATTACATAGAAAAAAAATCAAAAAAAAGCATACCCTAACCCTAACCTAGCTATGCTTTTCCCTATCTAATGAACAGCAGCTACACTTTTCCTCCTCTTACTAAAGCATGCAGCTTGAGAATGAATCTAAAATGGATGCCTTCCAGGAGGTGGGAGGGTCTGCTAGGGAGGGTGTGCTGCTAATTGGCTGGAATGTGTCTGCTGACTGTGAGGTACAGGGTCAAAGTTTACTCAATGATGACGAATAGGGGGCGGGTCGAACCGCACATATGTTCGCCCGCCGTGGCGAACGCGAACATGCTATGTTCGCCGGCGAACCGTTCGGTACATCACTATATATCAATCTATATATAAAATACAAACAACTGCAAATATATATATAAATGCATAAATGATTACATAAGTATACACGTAGAAATTAAATACATATATATGTATATATATTAAAATTCCACGTGTATATTTAAGTAATCTTTTAACATAATTATGTGATTTAATTAATTAAAATTTGATTGACATGCCTGACAACCCAGGCAGAAAGTGCAGAGAATTTAATTCGCAAGCACTATATTTAACCTTGTAACTTTCCAAGACACCATAAAACCTGTCCATAAGGGGTACCGTTTTACTCAGGAGACTTCGCTGAACACAAATATTAGTGTTTCAAAATTATAAATTGTATTACAACTATGATATTTGCAGTAAAAGTGAAGTTCTTTGCATTTTTCACACACAAACGGCACTTTTACTGACGATTTTATTGTTGAAATATGTTTTACTGTTTTGAAACACTTATGTTTGTGTTCAGTGAAGTCTCCCAAGTATAACAGTACCCCCCATGTACAGGTTTTATCGTGTTTTGGAAAGTTAGAGAGTGAAATATAAGGCTTGCATTTCATTTTTTTCACATTTAAATTTGCCAGTTTGGTAATGTTGCCTTTGAGACCGTATGGTAGCCCAGGAATGAGAATTACTCCCATGGTTGCATACCATTTGCAAAAGTAGACAACCCAAGGTATTGCAAATAGGTTATGTCCAGTCATTTTTAGTAGCCACTTAGTCACAAACACTGGCCAAATATTAGTTTTTTGCTTTTTTCACACAAAAACAAAAATGAACGCTAACTTTGGCCAGTGTTTGTGACTAAGTGGCCCTGCTCGATAACTTTCCAAAACACCGTAAAATCTGTTAATGGGGGGTACCGTTTTACTTGTGAGACATTGCTGAATACAAATATGTGCATTTTATTGCAGTAAAAGCGAACAGTATCATGACATTTACAGCTAAAATGTCAGGCGGAACTACAATTAATTTTTTTAAATATTAATTTCTCACAGTTTTTTATTTTATTCATAATAAGTTATGTTTCATATATGAATAGTTCATGAGAAATTAAAGCCCTGTTTCTCCTGAACAAAATTATATATGTGTGGGTGCACTTAATATGAAAGAGGTGAACTACGGTTGAACAGACATGTAGCGCAAATTCCAGGTTTTGTTTACATTTTGTTTTGATCAGAAGGTGTACTATTGACTCCATCCTGAAGGGGTTAAGGGCACAGCTTCAGAAGCTAGACTTACCCTTAAGGATACAAGCATGTTTTGCTGTTTCTGTTCAAATGCAATTTGCATCTCTTATTTATTGCACCAACACATATTATATACCTTTTTTAAGAAAGCAAAAAGGTCTTTAATTTGATGTCACATATACATATTTCAATTCTCATTAATTCTAAAAAACAAAAATGCCAAAAATGGGGAAAAAAAACTAAACTATTTTTTGTCACTGTTTTAACAATAATCATGTGTGCATAATATGTCCATGAAAAGTAATTCAAAATAAATTATTATTATTTTTAAAGTTACAGGTCACAAAATAAAAGGACTAAATTAAAATTTCAATATGAAACAATTTTAGAAGTTGGTATGTTTTTTTGTACGTTTAGTAGCCATCACAAAAAACAACATTGCCACACAAAATTATATATTTATATAAAGTAGACATCACAGGCTATTTACCTAAGGTTATTTTGACAATTTTTACGTCGCCAATCTCTGCTAAATATTGGAGTAAAATTTTATTTTTTCTCTTTATTGGCATGTACACATATAACAAGGTTTTTGTAATGTGTATTTTGTAAAGCTGGTGTGTGCTATTCCTGTACAGAACCATATATTGTGTTTAGCTACATCTGCAGAGTACAACAATACCCCCATTGTATACCTTTGGCACTATTCTGCGAAGCTACAATGTACAATGTTCATACTCCTACCTCTGATGCTCACCTTAAAGACTTTTCTAGGGCTGCACCGTTCCTATGGAACAGCCTTCCCCTGTCTGTTAGACTTCCACCCAATCTCCACTCCTTCATAAAAAATCTTTGAAAACTTACTTCTTTAGGAAAGCAAATCAGTTAAACTATGAACAGCTTTCCCTCCCAACACACCCTGATTCCTCTCCTGAAACTGTCATCAAGACAAAACAATAAGCCCTCAATGAACACTATCCTAGCAACCTACTTTTCTACCCCACTCCCTCTAGCAAGTAAGCTCATTGAACAGGGCCCTCAATCCCTCTGTTATTGTGTGTCAAACTCGTCTGGTTACAAATACTTGTCTGTTAGTTCACCCATTGTACAGTGCTATGGAACTTGTTGGCACTTTAGAAATAATATAAGAGACAAGGCTATTTCATTTTCTAGAGTTAGAATTTTCATAGATGGATTTGATGGGCCTATGTTTCATTTTGGGGCACTATAGCAGTTTGACTTTACAAATAACCCCACAAAGGGCTTCCATTTGAGAAAGCAGACACTCCAGGATATCTTATATGGCATATATTGTGCCTTAACTCGTCAACATTTTTTCACAAATTTAGGTCAATGTTTGTGGCGAGAAAAACAAATGGGAATTTTACATACATGTTGCGTTTTTGCTGGGTATTTCTTACACTTGATATTGATCAATGTCATAAAATCCCCCAGAGTATGCTCAGTTACATCTTCTGAGTGAAAAAATATGCCCAATGTATGACCTAGATACTATTTTGTGAAGTTTTTTACAGTGCTGTAAAAGAGATGTGACAAGTTTAGGTTTTTAAGTGTGAATTTTCATAGATGGTTTTGATAGGTGCGTGTTCCATTTTGGATTATTTTAGCAGACTACATATTACAAATGCACCACAAAGGCTTACCATTTCTTAAAGAAGACATCACAGGGTATTTCATTTTTGCACTAGCTTGTACTAAGTGTAGTGGTAGTAAGCATTTGTCTCCCTTTTTGACACACAAAGTGAGTTTGCACAGCATATTTTGCCAAACTTATGTATGCTACGGCTGTTTAATATTTCATATGTTGCTCAGCTATGTTGTCTGAGTACAACAATAACCCCGTATGTACCTTTGCCAGGTATATGTGGATTTTGAAAGGGCACATTTGAGACACTGCATTTTTTTTTTTTTTTTTTTCAAAGTTTGAAGTTTTATGCTGTGTCCATGTGTCATTTTGGAGTAGTTGAGCAAGTTGGTTATTCAAACTATCCCACAAACGCATATCACTTCTTAAAGAATGCACCCCGGGGTATTTCAAAAGGCATATTTTGAACTTTTTTTGCTATTTTATACCAAGTGTAGTGGTAAAACATTTTTTTTCTGCCTTTTTGACACACACTGTGATCTGTATTTTGATCACTGTAGGCAGTGATCAACTGGCAGGGAACGGGTTAATTTTTGTCAGGACTGGTTAAAGGGGGATAGGAGGATTTTTTTAAACTTATTTTGAACGTTAATTAAAAAAAAAAAAAAGTTTTAATTTCTTAAACAGTTTAAAACTGTTTTTTACTGTTAACCCCTAGCTGTCCTAACACCAAACCCCCCAATTCCCTACTAACATCCACACAAAATAAACGTTAACCCTCAAGGGTTAAAAAAAAAAAAAAAAAATCAGATCACAGTAAAATACTGTAGTGAGTGATTAACTTTTATACAGGAAGATCAGCAGTCTTGATCTGTCTCCCTGCACTTCACACTGAATGTGGAAGCGCAGGGAGGTGGATCAGGAGTCCCTGCAGCACATGTTCTTGCTTTCAAATCTCTACATAATGCTACTCCCACCTATCTATCCTCCCCAATACACAAGTATGTGCCGTCTAGGCCCCTATGCTCTGCCGAAGACCTGCATCTATCCTCTGTTCGTACTCCCACCTCTGATACCCCCAAGTCCCTTACTGGTCTCCCATCCTGTTTTTTAGTGGTCTTTCCTCCCCCAAGTCCATTACTGGTCTCCCAGCCTGTTTTTAGTGGTCTTTCCTCCCCCCAAGTCCCTTACTGGTCTCCCATTCTGTTTTTTTTAGTGGTCTCCCATCCTGTTTTTTTTTAGTGGTCTTTCCTCCCCCCCAGTCCCTTACTGGTCTCCCATCCTGTTTTTAGTGGTCTTTCCTACCCCCCAGTCCCTTACTGGTCTCCCATCCTGTTTTTAGTGGTCTTTCCCACCTCCTGTAGTCCTCCTACTGCCTCCCATCCTGCTTTTAGTGGTCTTTCTCTCCCCTGGGTCCCTGCCTGGTCTCCCCATCCTGTTTTAGTGGTCTCTTTTCCCTACCCCCAGTCCTCTACTGGTTCCCAACTCCTGTTTTGGCGGTCTTTTCCTCCCCCAGTCCCTACTGGTCTCCTCCACCTTGTTTTTAAAGTATTCCTTCTCTACCCCAGTCCCCTTACTGGTCTCCCCATCCTGTTTTTAGTGGTCTTTCCTCCCCTAGTCCCTTACTGTCTCCCCATCCTGTTTTTTAGTGGCTCCTTCCTACCCCCAGTCCCTTACTGGTCTCCCCATCCTGCTTTTTGCGGTCTTTCCTCCCCAGTCCTCTTTACTGGTCTCCCCATCCTGCTTTTAGTGGTCTTTCCTCCCCCAGTCCCTACTGTCTCCTATCCTGTTTTAGTGGGTCTTTTCCCACTTGTCCCTTACTGGTCTCCCATCCCATGTTTTAGTGGCCTCTCCTCCCCCAGTCCCCTTACTGTCTCCCATCCCTGTTTTAGTGGTCCCTTCCTACCCCCAGTCCTCCTTACTGTCTCCCATCCTGCTTTTAGTGGTCTTCCTACCCCCCAGTCCCTTACTGGTCTCCCATCCTGTTTTGGGTGGTCTTCCTACCCCCAGTCCCTTACTGGTCTCTCATCCTGTTTTTAGTGGTCTTTCCTACCCCCCAGTCCCTTACTGGTCTCCCATCCTGTTTTTAGTGGTCTTTCCTCCCCCCAGTCCCTTACTGGTCTCCCATCCTGTTTTTAGTGGTCTCTATTCCCTCCAAGTCCCTTACTGATCTCCCATCCTGTTTTTAGTGGTCTCTATTCCCTCCAAGTCCCTTACTGATCTCCCATCCTGTTTTTAGTGGTCTTTCCTACCCCCCAGTCCCTTACTGGTCTCCCATCCTGTTTTTAGTGGTCTTTCCTCCCCCCAGTCCCTTACTGGTCTCCCCTCCTGTTTTTAGTGGTCTTTCCTCCCCCCCAGTCCCTTACTGGTCTCCCATCCTGTTTTTAGTGGTCTTTCCTCCCCCCAGTCCCTTACTGGTCTCCCATCCTGTTTTTAGTGGTCTCTCTCCCCCCCCCCCAGTCCCTTAGTGGTCTATTCTCTCCTGTTATTTAATGCTGTCTTCACTTGTCCCTTTAAGCTCTCTCTCTCCCCCCTTTCCCAGGACTATGGAAGTATCTTCGTTAAACTATTTGATAAAGCACTATTATTAAATCAATATTTTACACAGCACTAACACCGCATTCCTGCTACATTAGACTGTGCACCCAACATGAAAACCTGGATTGTAATCCTTCCTTAGTTACCATTGCCACACATCAAACATGGCCTCGTGGATGCCTGACGCATGCGCAAAAGACCTGTCCATACTGCGCATGTGCCAAGTGGTCTTCCCCTTCGGAACGCATGCGCCTTGCGTGTTACGTCATCCCGTACTGCTCGTTACAGGTGACCGGCTGGTTTCGTGCTCGCCTCAGTCACCATCCTTATGGCATAATAGGTGATTAGATTTTCGTTGCGCACAGTTTCTTCCATCCAGGAATGGGTTAGCGGTGATTATAAAAACCTCACAGATCGGCCAGTCAGCCTTCAGTGCTCACTTATGTATGATATTTCCACCGAATCAAACAGGTGGCTCCGTGGCGCAATGGATAGCGCATTGGACTTCTAGCGGAGGAAGGTATTCAAAGGTTCCGGGTTCGAGTCCCGGCGGAGTCGTGGGGTTCTTTTTATTTATTAGGAGATAGGGGAAAAACTATGGAGAACTGTGCTTTTATTTGTGAACATAATTATTACAATGTGTGTAAATAAAATTGTGCATATGAAAAGCATGCAAATACATCATGACAAATTGACATCTAATATAAAGTAAGTTGATATAACATTTTGTTCTGTAGTTCTCATTGATGATTTTTTTTATTAAATAGTACTATTTATTAAGGCAAATGGCAAAGTATTGAGACACTCTTAATTTTCAGGATATCATAACTCCTTAAAAGGACCACTCTAGGCACCCAGACCACTTCAGCTTAATGAAGTGGTCTGGGTGCCAGGTCCTTCTAGGGTTAACCCATTTTTTCATAATTATAGCAGTTTCAGAGAAACTGCTATAATTATGAATGGGTTAAGCCTTCCCCCTAATCCTCTAGTGGCTGTCTCATTGACAGCCACTAGAGGCGCTTGCGTGCTTCTCACTGTGAAAATCACAGTGAGAGCACGCCAGTGTCCATAGGAAAGCATTGTAAATGCTTTCCTATGAGACCGGCTGAATGCGCGCGCAGCTCTTGCCGCGCGTGCGCATTCAGCCGGCGGGGCGTAACGGAGGCGGAGAGGAGGAGGAGAGCTCTCCGCCCAGCGCTGGAAAAAGGTAAGTTATTACCCCTTTTCCCCCTTCCAGAGCCGGGCGGGAGGGGGTCCCTGAGGGTGGGGGCACCCTCAGGGCACTATAGTCCCAGGAAAACGAGTGTTTTCCTGGCACTATAGTGGTCCTTTAACTAAAATAGCACCTGTTTTTGTCTTGATATGGGCTTAAGGTTTATCAGAGCATTCATTTTTTTTTTTTTCAAAGCACACCATAAATAGGTTTCCAGTACTGATGAAAAAAAAAAAAAGTGAAATATATGAAAATTAATATCTTTACAAAAAAAAAAAACATTTTGCAAACTTGTGAAAAGGGATTATTTTATTACAAAGTTTTCTTGCATTATATACACACACTACACAAACACATGTGGCATGTATATTTTGTGCCCTTACCTTTAGAAATAGTTTTTTTCAAAATGGTAAATGTACAGAATATCAGCAAGTTATCGGCTATCGACCTGAAAGTTCACAGATTATCAGCTCTTAAAAAAAACAATATCGGTTGATCCCTAGCAGGGACTGACAGAGGGGTGAGGCGTGGGAGATGCGGTCGGACAGGAAGATGAGCCTCACCATCGCATTCATTATAGAATGCAACGGGGCACGTTAGGAGAACTTAAGAACAGTGAGAAGTGGATTGCAGTAGTCAAGTTGAGAGAGGACAGTGGCATGGACCAGCACCTTAGCCACATCTGGCATTAGGTAGGGGCAGATGCACGCAATGTCTTTGAGATGGAAGTGGCAGGATTTGGCGATAGACTGGAGATGAGGGGTGAAGAAGAGGTTGGAGTCAAAGAGAACTAAGCAACGGGCCTGCGTGGTGGAGCAGATGGTAGCACCATTAACGTGGAGGGAGAAAGAAACTGGAAGTGGGCAGCCATCCAGTTAGAAATAGAGAGGCAGGGAGAGATCAGGGGAGGACAGATAGATTTGCATGTCATCTGCATAGAAGTGATATTAGTTTACCAAGGGAGGCAGTATAGATCGAGAACAGTAGGGGACCAAGGACTGAACCTTGGGGGACACCACCAGAGTGCGAATGAGCATAGAACACCAGAGGCAGTGAGGTTGGAAGTATTGTAAGGGGAAGGAGAGATGAGAGAGCTCTTCCCTGATTGTAGAGATCTTGTCAATGAAGTGAGTTGCAAAGTTTGTGGCGGTTAAAGGACCACTATACTGCCAGAAAAACAAACTCGGTTTCCTGGAACTATAGTGCCCTGAGGGTGCCCCCACCCTCAGGGTCCCACTCCCGCCGGACTGAAGGGGGAGGAATGTTAATCCCTTACCTTTTTTTCCAGCGCCGGGACTCTCCTCCCCCTTCTGATATCGGCTGAATGCGCATATGTGTGCATTCAGCCAGTCTCGTAGGAAAGCATTCTCAATGCTTTCCTATGGGCGGCAGAGTCTTCTCACTGTGAAAATCACAGTGGGAAGCGCCTCTATCGGCTGTTAGGGAGACAGCCACTAGAGGTTGGATTAACCCATATGTTAACAGCATAAATTTATAGTGGAGAAAGTCAGATGCGGAGTGAGACTTCCTCCAGCAGCGTTCTTGAGCATTTTTGGTGGTATCGAGTCAAATTGGTGTTGTAGTTTTGGAGCGTTTGCAGTGTTTAAGGGTAGGAGGTACTATGATGTTTAGGGGAGAGGAATTGTAGAAGGAGATTGCAGAGCTAGGGCAGGTGAGGTTGAAATGTTCTAGATACAGTGTTCCTCTGCTGCTCGAGAGTTGGTATCTTGTGATCATTAAAAGGACTCCTGTCATGCCCTAAACAATTTATGCTCATTAGATTGAGCATACGATTTTATCTATACATCGTGCTAGCGGTTTTGCTAGCAAGTGTATAGATTAGAAGCAGGCCCGGACTGGCCATCGGGCATTCCCGGGCAAATGCCCGGTGGGCCGCGATGGCCGTGGGGCCGAGGCCGGCAGGGAGATCACAGGATCTCCCCTGCCAGCCCCTGCAGGGCCAGCGCTATCCGAGCGCCGGCCCTGGTGTATGCCTCCATGGGCCGGTGGGGAGATCAAAGATCTCCCTCATCGGCCCACAGCAGGCTGAGGAGGGAGGGAGGAGAGGACCGGCGGAGCTACAACAAGTTCACTCTCACCACTGGACCACCAGGGAAGGCAGCATGGCATCCACCCCCCAGGCAAAATGGATCTCCTCCCCCCCAGGATAAAGGTAAGAAGGGGGGTTTTATTAATAAAAATATATATTTAAATTTAAATAAAAATACGTTGACACACACACATATAGATATAAAATAACCCTCAGTGAGTTAAAGGACCAGCCTTCCCCAAATCCTCTAGTGGCTGTCTCATTGACAGCTAGAGGCGCGTGATTCTCACTGTGAAAATCACAGTGAGCACGAGCGTCCATAGGAAAGCATTATGAATGCTTTCCTATGCGACCGGCTGAATGCGCACGCAGCTCTTGCCGCGCGTGCGCATTCAGCCGACGGGTCGGATCGGAGGCAGAGAGCTCCCCGCCCAGAGCTGGAAAAAGGTAAGTTTTTACCCCTTTCCCCCTTCCAGAGCCGGGCGGGGGCACCCTAGTGGTCCTTTAACAGACAAAGAAAATTAGAAACCTAGAATTTGACAGCAGATAAAAACACTCTCACACACAGCACCCCTCTTACATACTTACACTGCGCCTCTCACACATACAATAAGTCCAAATGTGTGTGTGTGTGTGTGTGTGTGTGTGTGTGTTTGTGTGTCTGTCTCTATATACATACATACATATATATATATACATACACACACACACACACTACAGCACCCCTCACATTGCACCACTACACATATTACGCTCCAGATACACACTAAATCCCTTACCCTATATGCACTCTTAATCCTCTACACACACACACTGGGTCCTTTACACAGTAGATCTCCTACACACACACACACACACACACACTACATTCCTTGTCAGCAAACACATACAACATTCTCTAAACACACCCTCTCTACAACCCCTACACACACTACGTCACCTACACACTTCAGTCCGTATGCACACATTCGCTGCATCCCCTATAAAACTATGCCTCCTATATACACACACACTCTCTACAGCCCCTTGCCACACATATTACACCACAAACAAATTAAATTGACCTATTTACACAATACCACACCACACTCTACACACACGCAATCCCACAAGCAGGCTCCAAACATATGCACCATGCACTTTCCCGGCCCTTTTGTCCTCTGGTATCCAACTTATTGAGACACCAGAGACAATTTAAAAGCAAACACAGCACAAGCATGTTATTAAATTTGCTTGTGCTGCGCAGAACAAATTCAGGGCCTTTTTCTAATGCCAGAGCTCTTCAGCAGGGCTCTGGGCATTGAACCAACATGCTCATTTTGAGAGGGGGCGTGTTGTCATTAGTGATGACAAAACACACACTCTCTGGCCCCGCCCCCTTCTTAGGGGGCCGCTCTGATTGAAAAATGCCCGGGACGAAATTTTTTTCCCAGTCCGGCCCTGATTAGAAGTAATAAGAACCTTTAAATGTCCAGTACCAGTCTATTATACCCACACCACTGCTTACCTAAACCAAAACCCTACAGGGAAACAAAAAAAAAAAACCACAACAACAAAACAGTTCCACACAAATATTCCAACATTACATTTATTCTAAGAAAACAAAAGAGAAAATCTCCAAAAAACATTTCTACCAGAATACAAAAATGAATATAAAGTAACAATTGGAGCAACATGCAGGATGTTTCAATGAGAAATTGTCTAAGTGTATGTAGTCTATAAATTATAGTGCCAATCCATAGGTTTAGATATGTTTATTTTTGTCCTTCGATGACTTTGATCTATAACCTATCTTGTCGTATTGCATATCCCACAAATTATCGATTCAAATCTTTCTAGTCTCAGCAACAAAAAAATTGACACAGTAATCTCATTTACAATTAACACAAAAACAGTTACAGTATATACATATAACATATTATAATGCTATTAAACCATAGGAACCACCACTTGTTTTACTGATACCATTAATGGGCCACAATTCCTATTAATCTTGGCCATCAGCAGTGCAACAGCAGCTCAAAGTAACCCCTGTTCTAGCATCTATTTTGTAATAGAGCTCAAGATATACATATCTAGATTAAATTATATAACATATATATTGCATATTCTCTCATATTCAAGATTTAAGGATCATCCAACATTTAAATTAGCTCAAAAAGATAATCGTTCATGCAAGTTATCTTGTTTAGTGCACCAAGCCAGGTTTCATTTGCAGCACCTTGGTTAGTTCATTAAGCCTTTAGTACTGGGGGAGAAAACTAAAATTAAAGTTTACCTATAGTCCCAAAAATACAGAAATTACAATTGTTAACTTACTCGCCTTTTTTGCCAGCAACGAGACTTTTCCACTGCAGCCTACAGTGAGGTCAGCAAACATCACCTGCAATCTCATCCAAGCATTGGACTG